TTGCAACCACAATGCAATGTACTCTCTCTCACCCTCTGGGAAAATGGTTAGCCAGCAAATACCAAAGATGGTCCCTGGCTCACCACAGTTCAAGCGCACATTTCAAAGCTGAGCTCCTTCTGTTTTCATCAGCGAATCTCAAGGAAAGAAAGGCCACTTTGCATAAAGAGATGAGCATTTTGAACACTAGAATCCTGTACTCACAGGACACAAAACAGCTTGGGAAAAACACTGTGTATTTCAATTTACTGTGGTTTTGAAAATTCATTTCAATATTAGCCAGGACCTTGTGTTCTTTTTCTCCTCCCTCTGTAGTTCCGACAATTACAATGATCCATAAAACAATTTATAATCAGTTTTGCACATTAGGTGGCTCAGTTAATTCACATTCTCAAAGCAACGTGGCATCTGGTGATGACAGTATATTTTGAGATGTGAGATTGGCCTGTAAGAAATGTTCAGTGATTCCTTTTGGCATTATTGATTCTTCCCTCTAAAAGTTTTTGATTGGTTTTTGCTCCTATTAGAAGCAGGGCTTCCCTGAGAATGACTGAGTTTGAATGTTTTCAAACTTTAAAGTTTCCCCATTCTTAAGGACAAAATAGTGCACACAAGGTTTAATAAACTGACAGTATTTTTTTCCAGTGAGGTTCTTAAACTGAATGACCTTGGGAACTGCTATCCTTCTGTTATCAAAAGAGCTTAAGCCAAAGCTTTGATCCAGCTTCGGACAGGGCTTCTGATCCTGGACCACAGGTTGGGTAGATAATGGGTTTTCATGTTGACACTGCACAGGAGTTGGAGCTTCTTTCCCATATATGTAAACAGCTCATCAGTTTGGAAATGGCTTTACTGTTAACCTTAGAGAGCTCTATTCATATCTCTTACAGCTTGAGATGAAAGTCACAGTCAGAATTATTATGTCAGCGGCATGCATGACATAGGAAAAGGGCAGAAGGCATTAACTAAGAAGGAACCTCAAACAGAAAATGGCTTGGAACATCATTTTCACCAAAATTCCATTCTTAATCTCTTGAAGATGAAGAGGAATAACTGTCACCACTGATAGCATTTACTTTATTTAAAAAATGAAAAGAAAAGAAAAAAGAACAATTACTAAATTAACCCTTTACTGTATCTTGGTTTCTAACTGTAAAACAAATTTAAAGATTCAGATAATGTGTCAACAAAGCTCTTCCCTAAACAATTTAAGATGGGAAAAGATCATCAGGGTTTTATTATGAGAGCTGCTGGTTTGCTTCTGAAAAATCAATGGATTACTTCAAATCTCAGAATAAGATATTCATGTCTGATTTGGGTTATCTGAACAAACAGTAAAATTATTCATATCTATCTACCACCCACCCATATATGCATTTTTTTTGTATAATAGTGAATAATCCATACAATTTTCTCTGTCTGGTACTTTCTGGTTGGTGACCTTTAGTTTAAGAGGTAGGTGGGTTTTTTTAAGTATCTGAAAATGTAGGAAGAAGGAAAATGAGTCTAGGGAGCCAGTCGATTTTAGACTTAGGCTGTCCGAACGTTAAAAGAGAGGAAATGAAGAACATTTTTAAAAGAACAGTAACAAGATAAACTGTTTCTCACTCTAGAATGGCTCTCACCACTGAAAAACAAGGGACCACGTAGTGGTTACTTAACAAGACAGCCTATCACCCCCCACCCCCACAATATGATGGTATAACAGCACAAATCTAGGCAGTATATACACAGCTCAGGTCTTAGATTGGCATCTTTTAAAATGCTATGAAGAGCTTATTAGTAAAGAGCATAAGAATAAAGCTTGAACACAACTTCAACAGAGACAACAGCTACCTCATAAATATGTTCCACCAGTGGTCCGACGCCCTCCTCTTTCCGGGGCTCCTCTTCTGGCTCCCAGTTATGAATGGGCAGAACAATCTGGGGAGGGTGGGATACTCTGAAACATGGAATGTTATGTCAGTTTCCGGTGTCGGCACGTGTGAAAAATGCTTCGCTAGTATGGGGTACATTAACAGCAGCAGGAAAGAGTGACTGTCCATTTATTTGAATAAATATTGCCTACAAGTAAAGAAAGTATTGAAAAAGTTTTGTTCAAGACAATCACAAAAGGAATAGGTAGGGGTCTAAAACATCTCAGTTATTGGTCTCCAGCTCAGGGGTTGACTATTTTATAGCATCTCCTCTCTAGGTCACTAGGGGCAGAGCAGAGAGCATTCCTGAGCTGAAATGGATAGTTTCACCTGTACATGTATAAGTAGAGACATCTATCTATAGATCCTGTGTTAGTGTGTGTGTGTGTGTGTGTGTGTGTGTGTGTGTGTGTGTGTGTGTGTTGTGTGTAGGATGTATAATCTGTGCTTTAAGCCATATCAAGAAACGGCCATTTTTGTGGATAAAAATCTAGAATTCTGTAACAAAATACAGTTTCTAATTAAATATTTCAGAGTAGAAAAGTGGTCACTTGTATATTTCTCCTTCTTAGGCTTCTTTGACTTTCTATTAACAGAGCCATACCTCTCACAGGGCCAGGATCTAATCGAGCTCTAGAGTTATGCTATAGTAGCCAAAGCACGAGAGAGAGGAGAAAGACAGAGAATGAGAGAATGGTGGAATCATGTAAATAGGATATTAACTTGATGTATAGATAGTTTTGCCTGTAATTTATATCTAGAAATGGAGAAGTTGATGAATGAAATACAGTATGTGGCATTATTTCATATTAAAAGCTGATTGCAAATCAAATCATTATTTTAATATAATCTTTAAAAGGATAATTCCCCCCAAATAATGCTTTCTTAAAGTTTTTAGGTAAAAGGTAGCTTTGAAAGAATTTGCAGACCTTCAGATACCATCAGTAGAAAACATCTCTTTTGGTGATCAGAAAGTCTTAAATGCCCTTTTGAGAGTACCTATAATTAGCACAGCCTTTTGCAACTTCATATGTTACCTTTCTTCTCCCTCTGGGTAATCTCTTTCAAAAGCAGAAAGCCAAAGTGTATTAGGTTAAATTCTGACCCTAGGG